GTCTGTTCGAAGTGTTGTTTTGATACGGCCTCTGTAATTCCACATCTCCACTTTAGTCTTATACTCATTCGACTTAGACTGCTTTGATTTCGCCCCAAGTACTCCCACTTGGTGCAAATCGGCGTCTTGGGCTGCCTTGAAAAGATTGCGGTTCACTCCTCTAGCTGAACCCACACAGACCCATCCTTCACCTTCAGGGCCGAATCCGCATGCCACAACGAATGATAAGATCATGTTCGCTGTTGGTAACTCGGAAGTGCAGATGACGAATCCTTCGAAACTTTTTAGACCCTGCGTAATAAACGAGTTCTGCTCTTTGCTCCAACTCAGGGCCGGCATAGCCTGATCAAATTTGACTTCTCCCTTAGCATGGAATTGAAATGAGCGATGGAACATACATCTTAACTGAGAAGCGATCATTGATCGCGTGTCCCAGTCAATCGACTTTTTGATGTAAAACGTCGTATCATGTCCCTGGTGGTCGCCTGGCCATTGCATGCGAGAGTTAGCATTCCACCTCACAAACACACCACCGCCCACTTCTCTGAGCAAGATACCGATGGTTTCTTCAGGACTGCTGTCGGCTGCACATCCCAATGAAATACGCCAAATGTTTCCTTTTGTCATTTCAGCTCCTATCGTGATCTTCAACCCCTTATTGGTAATGGTAAACTAGAAGAAACATTAGTTTCGTGCAAACGCCCATTGGCAAATCGGTAAAAAGTGTTATAACCAACCTACCTCAGGATTGTACTTGATATCTCTTTTTAGAATAATGTCATGCGACAGGCAGAATTCATCAGGAGAAACGGCCAAGACGCCACAGGGCTCTTCCGGCAAACCTGGCCTTGTTGACGATTCTAGTCCGTTCTCCCGGCTTTCAATTTGCCACTCTAATCTCGTCCATGCAAGTAGAGACAGATGGTTGGACTCTTTCGCAATCTCTTCTTGGAGACGAACGAATGCACGACTTCCCTCCCCGTAGAGCAAGGGCATGTTGACGCTGAAAATTCCGAGAAGACTGTAAGCGCGATCTTCCTCGCGACTAGTTTTACGTCCTGCAGCCCAAGACATCCTGCGCGCTACTGAGTTGCAGGCTAAAAGCGTGTTTATGTTTCGGGCTTCTAACGTTTCGTCGAAAATATCCCCAACAATGCGTGTACGCTTTTGGATAGCCTCCCGAAGTTCAAATCGTGTCCCCATACGCTTCCAGTCCTTGTCAAAGAACTCCATCCGAGCGGGAGCGATCAGTTCTTGTAAGGTCCATCCTCGAGAAAACCAAAGTGAATCTTCAAACGGTTGTCCGAGCGTGATGTCGGATAGATGAGTATAGCAAACCGCCGAATTCGCGTACCACTTGAACATGGAGTTGATTGCCTCGGTAAGCTCTGTGAGGTCCTCTTTGTTCATGCAGCATGTGTCGATCCAAACATATTCGTAGCCGTTGTCGAGAGCAACACGACAGAAGTTTTCTATTTTCCTCCAACCGGCTTTCTGCGTGGCAATCTCTGGGGTTCGTAGGTCTTGGTAGATGACCTCATCATCCTCCCATCGGTGTGACAAAATAGCATACGGCTTTGGGGTCTTAGTGCCCGAGAATTCTTCAATCTGGCGGGTTTGGCAATTCAGAAGCTTCATGGTGTCTCATGGATGTTTTTGTATTTTGTTGTCCGAAATTGTCGTTGGGGAAGTGCATAGAGAAGTGTCGAATTCTAGGGATATCGGGCACCTTTATACTTGAATAAGATGACATACCAACAAGGCGAGGCAACCATAGTGTGGTTGCTTCGCCACTAGGAAGGGTTGAGGTACATGCAGATTTGACCAATCCGAGGTGAACTACAGCATGTTGGGTGCGGTTAGCATGCAAGTGCAATTCGAGCACAGCCACGTGCACTCACTGCGCGAATGATACGCGAAGAACTCGGTAGAGCCTGCAATTCGCAGGAAAGTGTTACGAACTTAATTGGAGGATCAAGAAGGATGGTGTTTTTGGCTCAGGCTTCAAGGCTCAAGATTTAAATCATTCGACTCTGACTAATCAGATTCACTTCAAGATTACATTTCTCAAATGAGCAAAGGCCTCACACCCACAGGGTTGCAAGTGTTTTCTGCTGGCTTGGAGTTGGTAGTTCCCTTTGATGGCACGAAGAGCCAACCCGCTTTCCATATGTCTATTAGAAAGCGAGGAAGACACTGCCACTGACTGGGATAGCATAGCGCCATGAGGACTCTCTTGGCAACTAAAAGACTGTTGCACTAGTACACAAGGTCTGCAGTAATGTGAGAAGCATTCACAACGTGCAAGCAATCTTATTTCACCGGGCTTCGAATTGAGAGGAAGAATCATCTTGATATTTATATCACCAGCTGGAAGAAATAAGTGAGCGAACGGTCAATCTGATTCTATATGCTCTAGAAACGGAAGGAATATCCGAGACCTGGCAGATTGTGGAGGGTATACGAAGTGTGGAGTTGACAGAGGAAACTGGCACGCAGATGATCATGGCAACCGGCGCTCGCCGAGTTTCTTTTCAGCATAGAATATAGAATCCAATCGACTTTGATATTCATCGATTTTCATCTTTAGACGTTGCTTCATTCAAGAACCTCCATGGGGGTCTGCCCGGACTGGACTTCACTTACCTCATGACTCGCCGACATCTGGCCTTGCAGTTTCGCGTCAGTGTCGAACCTTCTCAAACGAACACCACCAAGACGAGCTCAAGAACAATTATTGTCTACTCCAACCTCAATTCCAGGATCCGTAGCCTTTGGAACAATGCTATTACCCCAACCTCATAGGGCAGTCTAGCCTCTCCCAAGAACCAGTCCGCCGGAAATAGGGGTTCACTCGGCACTTGCATGCAACCACCCAGGACCAGGGTTTCAAAATAGACTTTCTGAATAGATTGCGCGCCCGCTCTTGAGACAAGTCCCCGGGCAGCCCGCAGTCACATCAGCCCCAAAAATTGACATTCGACGGGTGGACCGCACGACACTCGTCATGAAAGGTCGGGGCAACGCTGCTCCCCCTTTCCCGGTGGTGGGTGCTGCGCGGCGAGATATAACTGCCCGACGAATCCGCCCATGCGTGACGCGCGCGGTGGTGGATGCGTTCATCGCAAGTTTCACTCACCACAGTCACTCGTTCCCACGCGTCAACGTCGATCCGCCGATCAATTCCACTACGATCCAGAATCCCATCCGATACCTAGCAACGTCTTACGAAGAAGGAATTCAAGATGGTCAACTCATTCGTCAAGCTCGTCGCCTTCGCTGGCCTCGCATCCGCCGGAATTCTTTCTCCGCGCCAGAATACCACGCCCGCTGTTGACATCACGGCGCTGACCAAGAACGTCACGGCCACTTCCGGAACCGGCGCCGTCAGCGCCGCGGGAACCTTGTCCCCCTTCGGAGGTATTGGAGTCGGCTGTGGCATCAACTGGGCTGAGGGCCAGTCTTTTGGAGGTAAGTTGGTGGTCAAGCTGGGACGGAGCGACCCGGGCTCGGATGATGAACTCGGGAAAGAGACCGGAGGACGCAGATCTTGTTCCCGGAAAGCCTCTAGAACGTGATGCTAAGCAGATTGCTTGATAGGTGGTCTTCAATCCGGCTCGGACTCTTTCGGCCTCGGTGGCGGATTCACCATCACCAAGGACACCATGAACATTGGTCTTGGCATCGGCATCAACCCCATCAAGTTCAACTCCAGGTAAGCCTGCGTCGCAAGCATCCTATTATGTGTAGTAGCTAACAAAAGGCTAGCGTGAACTACGAAGCTTCGACTAACGGCACCGTGACCATGACCTTCACCTCCACGACGGCGATCAAGTGTGAAGAGACCACGGTTGATGGCGTCAAGGGTGTCAAGTGTACTTCCTCATAGAGAGTCTTAGCGATGCAGCGTTTTTAGGCGTCAATAGATATATCCTTTTAAGACTTCCAATTCATAAAGTATGCTCCGCTTTTCCGTTTCTGCGATGGCGTGGTGATGAGAACTTCAACGTCCGTAAAAGTCAGTAGCCGCCGTAGAGCAAGTGTTTTGTTTCATCTAACCTGCCGAGCTAGCGTCCTCGTTCCGCGTTCATCCAGTTCATACGGATGCGAATACACGAAGCAAGGGTATCTATCAGGCTGTGAACGGCCAAAACTACCACCCACCATTATTTGATTTTCCAATTGTGTGACAGAGGTTTGGCCCAAAGCCTCTGGCCACAGACACCGGCATTGTTGCGGGGTTGAGAAAGGCAAGTATGTCACCACATTCAACTTATACAGAGAGACCAATGCCTCAGAATGCCACCTGAATGGCACTCAACTAGATATATGACAGCAATGACAATAGAGGGTGCTTCCTACAGCGAAACAGCCAGTCCAATCTTTCTGATGGTGGTTTTCTGTGATGGCTATAAGGTTCGCCTCTGTGGAAATTCAAGCTCATCACGATCATGGTTTGCAAGACACTGTGAAATTAATGTTGCTTGTTGATCGTCCATCTTTGTCGCTGTTTGTGGTTTGAGAGGGGCGTATGCATCGCTAAGCACAACAATACGTTGCCTTCATATGAGCCTTGTCGTCAGTAAGTGCGCCTCCTGACCCAGCAAGACCACGAGACCATAACACAGGGGGAAAAAAATACAACCTCAGTCAATCTTGAAGAGTTTTGCTAGTCGGGCAGTGTTCGTTGGCTGTCCGGGTAGTGTCCCCCATAATCCGTGATTATAGAGAGAACGATAGAAGTAGTAATAAGGATAACGATAACGACGATGATAATAATAATAAACGACGACGAAAGCGAGAATAGGAAATATAATAGTCGCTTTAGAAACAGGCTTCGGGTTATATATATGTGTGTAGACACTGCCCGGATAGCCAAATGACACTGCCCGACTGGCAAAACTCATCTTTAATTGAAGATCGGCGTCTCAGTTGAAGAAAGGAAGGAGGCGTGAATCAAAAGCGAAAAGAAACGAAGGACAAAAATAAAGAAAAAAAGATGGTCCTGACCAGGCTTGAACTGGCGACCCCCGCCGTATCTGATGGTGATATCAGGACGATGCTCTGACCAAACTGAGCTACAGGACCTTTTTGTGATCATTGGATGTCCAGTCAGTGGTTCAAACATATGAAGGAAGTCCACGGTCCTACGTGGTTGACTCAAAGTCTCAAAACATCGAGGTCTTGAGATTTGAGTTTGGGTTGACTCACAGGTCATCCGGGTGGTTGATGTAGGAAGATAACAGCCTGCGCCGACGCTCACAGGTCTACGTACAAGGTGCTGTCTCGCTGTAGCATTGGTTCATTGTCACACCTATCACTTCACACACCCAGTGACCTCCCATCCCCTTCATTTGTCACCGTATTGCGGAGAAAGATGTGCCTGGCCCTCCGAACACAACCGCATCTTAGAGTACAGCGCACTTGATAGACGTTGCCCACAGATGTGGCTTTCACAGCGAATTTCACGACATCCACCGTGTGTCAGTGGTTGTCTTAGTGGTGATGGTTGTTCAGCTGAACTGTCCCAGCTTAGCGAGAAGGATGCTCGATACAGAGCTACACAGCGGATGTGGTAACACCAAACTTGCCATATCAGATAATTATACGTTCCGGTTAAACCGAATGATCCCTAGAAGTAAGTTTAAATGATTTTGAGACACTTTTAAGTCACAGTAAAATCGCCCAGCGCATCTGCTGTCTGAGCCGAATCTAATTGGTAAACCCCAAACTCGCAACTTGTTGTTTGCGGTGACCCCAGAAAATGGATGATATTTAATCATTCTAAACCCATGTAAGGTATTGGTAGTCGGGCCGATTTGAGCACCACATTGGAACAGTAACAAGGCCTCTCACCATGTCACGAAGTCCCACTTTCCGTGTGAGATTCTCCGAATCATCACCTAGCGGATTTAGGCAAAACAGTTGAGCACGAAACTTGAACGCATCAGAGCGATATGTAGGTGTGCTACTGGTAACAAGACATTTGGGCATACAAGACATTGCTCACTCACCCATTCACTCAATTAGGATCATGATTGCCAAGTGCGCCCACAGTCGTGGGGTCATACTATGAGCATCACGTTGCCCGATGATAGTTCTGGGCGCTCGCCATGTCTCAAAAAGATACTGATAAGCTGAAGAAGTTTTAGGAGGGAGCCCATGGAGACACTGTACTTGTGGCGGCTATAAGAGTCCAAACATCTCTCGCTCCAGTTGCACTCTCACTCATCTCATCATACTAATTAGATATTGCCCTCATCGAGACTACATTGCACAGCCTGAAGCTTCATACTTGGGGATTTTCCACAGGCAAGTCTCACGAATAGGCAGTACACATTGTGTTGTTGACAGTGTACCAAGGGACCTGGATATCAGTGCGAAAATCAGCCACCCTCATCGCCAATAATTATGCGCTTCAGCATCGCGATCATCGCCTTTACCTTGGCTGCCGTATGCGCCGCCGACCGCATGATTACCAGCCGTAGGTGCAGCACGGATGGTGTTGGACGGTGCTTTTACAGCGGTGAATATATCGTCAACTCCGGTCGCAAGTTCACCTTCGGCGACGACAGGGGAGGATGCAAAACTCGTAACATACCGGAGATGGCCGAATTCTGCATCGACTTCGGCAAGAGCCGTGCCCACTTCCGCTTCAATCACCAGCACAAACGGTGTCTCAGGGTGACAGCCAGAGGGCCAGGAACAAGATCTGAATGGTCAGAGACCGGATGCAACTGGAGAAGGGATGAGGATGGGGCTGAAGACGTTGACGGGTTTTCGGAGAATCTCCTGCCCGCTGTTGAAGAGAGCGAGTAAGGGATGCCTGACCTGTACGACGCAGTGAGATGGGCAATATTACACCTAGAATAGCTTGAGATAATTTCTACCAAGCTCGAAAACATTCAAGTATTCGGATGTCTTGGGCTTCGGAGACAGTTGTTAGATGATGGCGTCTGCGTGGAAGCTAGGAGAAACCAATGCCAACAACTCTTTACCAACATGTTTGAGCCTTTTGCGTAGAAAACCCCGGCTAGGGAAACCTGAAAACTTTGGTCACTGTCAATGAGAACCAGCGCGAAAGCAGGGTCGCCACATCAGGAAGTGACCGAGCTGAACTTAACCTGTATGGTCGACACCTTTGTGGAGGGCGTGCGTGATGAGTATCAGTCAAGGTCGACACAGGAAGCAGAGTCTTATCGAGCCGTAAAGGTTTTAATACAATCTCCCCCACCGCGTCACGTGCATGGAAGCCATCTTGGGGGGAAAGCTCGTATCAACAGACTCGACCAAGGTAGAATCACCACAGGTTCTTCTGACTACCTGGAGGAATCGACCACACGAGGTTCTCTACCCCATCGTATCAAGCAAACTCCTCCCTTCGGAGATGTCTCTGTCCAAAATCATTCGTGGAGGATGGCCTCAAAGGTTGACCTTCAACAAGGAGGACGTTTCTCCGGATGGTCTGGGGAGTGCTTATAAGCTGCCCAACTTTCTCCTGCTGTGGTCTGCATTTTCCGACCTCCCCATCCCATCTTAGGATATTACAATTGGCATATCACACAGATTCCAGTAGTGCATATACTAACTTGACGATCCACAACGAATAATCTTCTTCACTTCTATACCCCTGTTACAGGCCGCCTACCACCACATCTATCCTAGGTATAGATTCCAACAGGCCTCTTACCTACACGTCCATTCTACTCCTTATCACAACTACTCACAAGGCAACTTACGTACACAATGGCAGCCCTCAAGAGTCTCCGCGCTATCAGGGCCAAGTACGTCCAGAAGCAGCAGGAGAAGGTGAAGACTGCCGCCGTCGCCGTCGCCGCCCCCGACCCGTTCCAGGCAGTCGCCAATTGGAATTGGGAGGGCGTAACCTCCCCTATTCAACAAAGCCACACTGCCGTGGCACGCCAATTCACCGATGGGAGTAACCCCTCCAACGGTGCTAACTATTACATGGACGGCATGTGTACCCCGTCCCAGGGATACAACAACGACGTCGCCATGGGCTTCGCCATGGACATTGACGATGCCTCCTACAACTCGCCCGACGTCAGCATGAGCGATGTCTCCAGCGACGTCTCCAGCACCGTGTTCGACATTGACATGGACATTGTCTCCGACGCCATGGCCGACATCACCATGTCCGATGTCCCCTGCGCCAGCCCGGAGATCCACATGTGCGACGCCTGGGACGTGGGCTCGCTCTGCGACGAGGATCATTCGGACAACATGCTCAAGATCCTGGCGGGGAAGAAGCGCGCCGCGGGCCTGCGCCAGCTTGAGGGCCCTCAACAATTGCGTCCTCGAGAGGACAACCGCCGCGAGCACATCGCCGCGGAGATCTTCAAGTCGCGGGCCACCATTGAGAAATGGCAGAAGGTGCTGGAGAAGATCCGGCTCGAGATGCAGAGCGGATGTGTCGACCTGTGGCCTGCTACCAGGCGGAAGGAGAGAGGCGAGTGCCTGCTCGCGGAGGAATGGAAGAGGCTCGATCGCCTTGACATGGAGTACTACTTGGCCTCGAAGTATACCGCGGGGTTGAATGAGTGCTGCGTTTATTGAGGGTGGTTGGGTCGTGTGGGTGAGGTGCGGGATGCTTCATGAGGTTCTTGAGTGATGTGATGCCTTGGATCGGATCGAGTCCAGGACATCTTATGAGAATATGATGATGAGAATATGATAATGATCTAATGACTTCAATATACTCTGTCAATTTCTGTTTGCACATTAGCACCCTGTAATTTGTGTTTGTGACGTTGACTTTGACCCGTGAGTGTTTCTTCATCTTCAGAGAGCTTCTGGCACTTCCAGCCCTGCTCCTTCCTAATGGGTTGCCGCCGTCGCATGACGCCTTTCCTAAAATAAAAGACGTCTTTCCCAAATGAGAAGCCGAAAGATGAACGACGACAAACGGCTTCTCTGCACCCCAAAACTCAAATCCACTGTCGCCAAGTATGTCTCCATGCTTACCTATTCATCAGATGAAATGTCACGATGGATGCTGAGGCTTCAGCTGTCGTCAGAGAGAACGTCACACCCACGGTCGTCACTGCGCAACATCGTAATGTCGTGGAAGACCTGCACATGAATACCCCACACTTTATCCACCACCCATTACTTCATCCCAACTCCCGCAGGCGGTCCGGCACATGAAGTCTCTATGCGAACGACGTCAGACGGCCCTCTCGCTCACACACACACACCAGAAGACGGCCGATCCAGGGTCCAATTGGCACACACAGGCCGCCGATGCATTGCGGGGAAGGCATGGCGCCTGCGGTCTGTGCCGTCAGCGCTTCGACACTGACACCTCCCCTTCCCCTCCCCTCATCATCGTGTTTGCTGCAGCGTAGACGATGTGGTGGTGGTGGTGGCTGCTATCCTTGTAGCACCGGGTCATCGATCCGTCGGCTGGTGGTGTCGACGGCTCGTCTGCACGTCAGTGAAGGTGCTAATTGTTAGCGAGGTTTGGAGTTGAAGGCTGGAAGATGTGGAATCGCTGGTGCAGTCGAGGTCGCCCCACTGAAGAAAACCCGACTGAGCCGCCAATCTGCGCCTGGGAACCCCTGCCCCAGCGACAGGCGAGCCCCGCCAGCTAGAACCACAGCTCGCCGCCTCCAAGCTCTGTCTGCGGCAGGCCAGGGTTGGTTCCATTGATGGAGGGGGAGACTTCAGCAGGCATTGATTCCATCACCTCACCTCACCCTGCAGCAGCGCATCATCCCACTCGGAGACACAAGTGAGCTGCTTTTCTGCCCGTCGAGCTACTGCTACCCTTCCCGACCTCTGCATGCAGCACACAGCACACACGACCTCACACAGCATCGGTACTGCTCTCTCCCAACCCCGGATCTTACAACCCGCCATTTGCCTACGCTACGCAGCGACGTCACACCCAAAAAGAGTCGCGTGTTTTTCAAGACACCAAAGCGAACCGAAGCTCGGGCTAGCTACCCAGGAAAGATCGCCAACACGCCACTTCCCCGGGATATCCTCACCCCAGCTGGCCAGCCCACAGACCGTTGTCGAAAGCGAACCTCCCCCGCGCGCGCCTCGATTTTACCTTTTATTTA